GGATCTGCATCAACCCTCTGCCAGCCTCTGACTGAGAAGGTTGGATAGACTCTACTATGCGGGCTGCGGCTGTGAGATTCTGAATCGGAGTGCGGTATACCTTAGGTGGAGGAGGAAAGAGTTGTCATCGATTGGACTCATGGATCCGCTCCTGAGCGCGCTCGTTGAGAGCCTGCTGGAGGTTATCCAGTCGAGTGTGCTCAGCCAGATTAGCTAGGCGCACCTCCTTCAAGGCCCGCGCTTCGGGGATTTCTCCTACAATGGGCGTGTGGAGTGCATCCATGTTACGGCGACGAAGTTCTTCCCTCTGCTGAGAAGAGAGGGGCTCGGGTCGGTATTCCTCGTGGGTGTGCGACAGATCGCCGCCTCCGTCTTCGCCGCCCTCGCGGCGGAAACCAGGTGGGTTGTGAGGCCCATCGACTATTAAGACTTCGGCTGCAGGATCGCTGCTATCGCATTCGGATGCGGTCTCCGCGGAGCCAGTCGACAGATCGAACAAGCCGTGGAGAGTTTCGTCGGGCTCGATTGCCGCGACTTGATGGGTGGTCGATTGCTGAGCCACCGCGTGTTTCACCCACCGCTGAAGCCGCGATCGACCGGATCGCTTGCGGCGGCGGACAACGGGGGAGGAAAACACCATTGGAGCCGACTGGTATTGAGTCGACGGCTGCCGAAGAAGAACACCACGAACGCACGCGCGGAAGTGCGTCGCTCCTCGGACGGGGAGCGCCTCAGTGTCCAGGGGAGCTTCTTGGAGCCACGCGGAGTCGTCGGCGATGAAAACAAGCGCGCCGAGACGGATCTCGCGGCCCTCAGCCAGTCCTCCGCCGGAAACCATGATGATGGTGATCGGAAAAACTTGCAACTTCACCAATAAGTCGCTAAGACACCTGCCCCACGGTGGGTGCCAACTGTCGTGGTTCTAAGCCTGACAGTAGAAAGGGGGTAGGTATGGAGAGGCAAGATCTTAGCTATGGTAAAGATGTACACACGAGATTTACGAGTTCAGGCCCTTCTCTGAGGAAGTAATAGCCCTACGTCTCGGTGCACGGAGGCGGTCGATTGTATTATGTGTGTTGTATTACAAAGAGTGTGAACCCTTGTGCCAGAGGAGGGGGGTGGCTTATATAAAGTACGCCAGGACTCCAGCTCACCTCCGTTACAAGGGAACTAATGTACATAAAGTAAGGGGCGTTACTGGTAACGCCAGCATTAAGTACTCTTAATGCTCATGAAGACTAAGGAGTAAATATCCAGCCATTGCGTACTCTTCCGACTCCTGGTCTTCGATATGGTCGAGTGACCTTTTGTGTGGTCGACTGACGATAAGTAGCGACCGTCGAGTGGAGTGACCGTCAAGTGGAGTGACCGTCGAGTGGATTGCACTCGACATATGAGATTGGTGCTCTTCCGTTGACTCTTGGTCTTTCCATCTTCTAGGGTAGTGACCTTGGGTAGGATGTATAGGTCGAGGCCATGACCCTATCATGGGTCTGTATCCTCGTCAGCAGCAGCTGGCAAAGCATTCGGCCAAACCTGCCTGGGTCTAGTGCGATCAGCACCAAAGGCTGCACGTTCATGGGCTATTTACCACAATCCCTTCCTATGATTTTTAGTCTATTGAAGTTTTGATCTCATGATAGATTACTCATTTTGGATCAGAACAAAGTCGGGCCATAGACACAAGGCCGCGCGCCAGGTTTTGATTGTCCTATACTATTATACTAAAATGAAAACTAAAACAGAAAAGGCTTTCTAAGGAGGAAAAAACTAAAAGCAATGGTAATATTCTTTAAGAAGAAAATAAAATGAAAACTAAAATAAAAAAAATAATGATAGATATTGCACATAATTTACAGATAAATTGTGTGTTTAATAATATGCAATAATAAGCATATAGTAGTGTCGCTTTGCAAGATTTTTTTTATAAGAAGGAATGAATTAAGAACGTTGGTATTATCATTCAAGAAGAAGAAAATCAAATAAAAACTCAAACAAAATCAAAATATGAAGTTTTATAAGGAATAATGAATTAGTGGAATTAGTATTACCCTCTAAAAAGAAAGAAAATGGAGATAAAATAAATACGCACAAAATTTGCACACAGCATACAAATGAATTGTGATCTTTTATAATATGCAAGAACAAACGTATAATAGTGGAAATTTCGCAAAAAAAAGGTTCCTGGGCAGGAATGAATTGATGGCATCGGTATTACTCTTAAAGAAGAAGGACAATGAAATAAAAACTTAAACCAAATCAAAATAATGAAGTTTTCTAAGGGAGAATGAATTAGTGGCATAGGTATCACCCTTTGAGAAGGCTAGAAATGACATAAAAACTAAAATAAAATCAAAATATAAAAGTTTTCTAGGGGAGAATGAACTAATCGCATTGGGATTACCATTTAAGAAGAAAATGAAACACATTAAAACAAATAATGAAAAAACTTGCACACAACATACACAGATATTACGCATTTTTATGACATGCAACAATAAGCTTATAATAGTGAATTTTCACAAAAAGAATTTTTCATAAGAAGGAGTTGTTACTACCCTTAAAGAAGAAGCAAATAAAATAAAAACTAAAGAAAATAAAAAACATGAAGTTTCTAAGGGACAGTGAATTAGTGGCATTGGCATTACCCTTTAAGAAGAAAGAAAATGAAACAAATAAAAACACATAATGATAGAAATACACAGAAATTGCACTTTTTATAATATGTAAGAATAAGCATATAGTAGTGAAATTTTGCAATGAAATAAGTTTTTAAGAAGGAATGACTTAGTGGCATTGTATTATCCTTAACAAAGAAAGGAAATCAAACTATAAAGATTTCTAATGAACAATGAATTGGTGACATTAGTATTACCCTTTAAGAAGAAAGAAAATGAAAACAAAGCTAAAATAAATAATGAAAAAAATTGCAGACAATTTACTCATAAATTGTCATTTACACACACATTGTATAGTATTTGCATGTATACCTACACACAGAAATAAAAAAATGAAGTTGTCTAAGAAACAATGAATTCTTGGTGTTGGTATTACCTTTTAAGAAGAACATGATGAAAATAATAATAATAAATTGAAAAAAAATCACACAATCTATTTTATAATACGAAAGAATAACCATACAATAGTGCAACGATATTGGTATTACCGTTACAGAAAAAAATGAAATAAAATGAAAATGAAAATGAAATAATTATTTTTTAGAAGAATAAAACCCTTTAAGAAGAAACAAACTAATAATCAAAAATAATATAATGAAATTTTCTAGGGAAGATTGAAACTCTTTAAGAAGAAAGAAAATAAATAAACAAAAAAAAATAAAGAAGTTTTCTAGGGAAGAATGAAACCCTTTAAGAAGAAAGAAAATAAAAAACAAAAACAAAAACAAAATAATGAAGTTTTCTGTGGAATGTAACCTTGTAAGAAATTAATACAAAAACTAAGACAAAATAATGAAGCTTCCTATGGAATGAAACCCTTTAAGAAGAAAGAAAATATAAAAACAAAAACAAAAGCAAAATAATGAAGTTTCCAGGGAAAAATAAAACCCTTTAAGAAGAAAGAAAATTTAAAAATAACTTGCACACAAGTATTGCCTGAAATCGCACATTTGTAATATGCAAAAAATAAGATTATACAGTGCAATTTTTGCTCTCTACTATCATTTACACACATGGTGTATCATACTTGCGTGTATACTTTAAACATAATGAAACAAAAAAAAGGTTTATTAGAGATAATAAATTAGTGACATTGGTATACTCTTAAGAAGAAGAAAAATAAAGAAAAATTTGCACACAACTTTACATTAAAAAATGCACTTCTTATAATATGCAACGAATACACATATAGTAATGCAACTTTAGCAGTCTAGTATAATTTACACACACATTGTATAGTACTTTCGTGCATACATACACATAACAATAGAAAAATGTATTTAATTAGCACAAAACAATTAGCACTGGTATTACCCTTAAAGAATAAACAAAATGAAAAAAACAAAATTTTCTACACAATTAGCACAAAATGCACTTTTAATAATATGTAGAATAAATACATATGAGTGAAGTTTTCATACTCTAATGTAATTTGTACATGTAGTATTTGCATGTATACATTTACACACCCAACATCCGAAAATACACGTAAAGAAAAAAATAAAACTCAACTGAAAAATAAAAATATAAAAGCATACATATGCAGAAAATAAAAGAAAACACATGAAAAAAGCATTCACACACCAAAATCCGGCCCAATAAGGAAATGGACTGACCCAAAATAGGGTCAGTTGAATCCAAGCAGCCCAGTACCACCAGCAATTAATGACAGAAAAAAAACTGCACTAATCATAAAGCACAATCCAAGGGCTAGAAAATCGACTGACCACAAAACTAATATTCAGCTGACTGAAATCTAGCTAAAGTGTAAATTAATTCCCAAAAACCACTTGTTGGGAGCCTGTAAAAATATTCCGGGGTGATAAAAGAACATTTCCGGAACGGGAGGCTGTCAACTAGCAGATCCTCTTCCCGTCAAAAAAAAAACAAAAAAAAAAACTAGCAGATCCTCTGAATAACTCCGGGGAATGGAAAAGTTGCAACCGTTGCCATTTGTGGCCACAAGCGAGCCCAATTTTCCAAAGCGGTCCATCTAGAGGTCCAGTCCGTGATACTCCATCTAGAGGAGTAGCTATCAGCGATACCTATCGTCGCCGGCCTGGCGAAATCCCTGCGCCTCTCACGCTCGTCGCCGCCGCCATCGCCGCCGGTTCCCGTTCTACTTCATCCCTTTCCTGCCGTCTCCACACCGTCCGTGACCTCGGACATTGGTTCTTGAGGTACGAGCCTTTGGTCATCGAGGTTTAATGCCAAATAAACCTTGCAAATTATGGTCTGACGATACTCACCATCTAGATCTTCCGGTGTGATCTCTAGTGTGGTTTATGTGATGGGCCGAGCAATCTCGCAGGTTATTGGCCAATGGTAGGCTGGCGGGCGGCGGGCGCTCGCGCCGTTCTTCGCCGACTCGGCGCGGCAGCCACGGACAAGCAGGGTGGCCGTACGTTGGCGGTCAGCTATAGCAGCAGCTGCCGCAGCAGTAGCGCGAATTCTCCATTTGGATTGGGTGTGTGCCTGTTTGTCCATAGTCTCCATTTCGTTACTGTTGGCTGTATCTGTATGCCCGCCTGTCATGATCTGAAATTCTGAATGCTCATCTGAAGTACAGACGAGCAGACGTGGAATTGCTTGTAATAATTTTTTTGGAATGGAGAATTAATATAACAACATAGTGTCAGTTATTATTTGCGCCTTATTTTAGTTAAATTCAGAACACACACGCACACGTGCCCGTGTGTCACTAATTCACTATGATCCTTGTATCTTTGGTTGTATCCATTTTTGACGAGCTCCGATTCAGTATGATACATTGTGCCGTACTAATATAGTCTTCGCTCCTCAGGAGACTTCGTAACTTCCTTTTTTTCAGTAAGGAGTGCAGTGAGTGTGTTCAGCTCTTGATATCTGATGATGACTTTCTAATGGGTGTGATCGATAACCATGTAGGCCAGTGCACAAGTTTGTTGAGAGCACACACTTCTACCTCCCGGGGAATTCCAACGAACTTCCATCAGCTGCTCCACAATGCTGTGATGAACTTTTCGTGCTATGTTTCAGTTTCTTATGCAACCATGTTTTTGCAATGGTACTGGTTCGTTTTTTGATGATAACTAAGTGTGCTTTTGCAACTGACTGACATCAACCGAGCATTGAAAAGCAGTTTCATGAGCAGCTACCTGCGTGCGATTACATTAGTCATCTATATGCTGAACATCATATTGACACCATTCTCATAACATTTATAACTTCATGCATCATAGTGACATGCCTCTTTGTGTTTACATTGTCAATTGTTGTTTCATTGTAGGGAATATCGACCACCAGGAACCTTCTTGCTGCAGATAATTCTATGGTTCCCATTTCTTCTCCGTTGACAACTCCACTAGGGGATGCAGAAGAGACCAACAAAAAGGGAGCAGTAGTTAAGCGACTGAAAGTCCAAGCCATCAAGAAGGATATCAAGCAGGTAAGCCGTAAGCAAGAGCTTAGTAGTAGTTGTATTCCTCCAAGGCTTCAAATATCCTAAAATGTTTGATCAAGGACATGTCTTCAGTTCTGTGACAGCCATTTACAGTATGCATTTTCCTGAAAACTTCCCTTCACTGGGTTGTTTTGTCAAAATACATGTAGTTCACGAAAGTGTTCATATGTTTGGTATGTTGCAAACAACAAATCGGTGTGCGGAATGGTTACATGGCAAAACACATGGAAACCTTTTAATGTATATATTTGCCTGTTTTTAATAAAAGTAACTTGTTTCTTAACATCAATTTAAAAATGTCTTTGTAGCTTTTAATCATTGGTTAATTTATATATTGATTAAAAACCATTTGCTTATCTCACACCACTGGAATAATGAGCATGTAGAGAGATTAAGGCAGCCTAACAGACTTCCTGAACGGGTGTACTGCTAATAATATTTTACTAGTGCCATCATGAGATATTTCGTGTCTCTAATTTGTCTGAATCTTCCTGGCTGTTTTAGAGCCCCAAGAAGGTGAATCTGGTAGCCAAGCTGGTTCGAGGAATGCGTGTTGAAGATGCCCTTTTGCAGCTGCAAGTGACAGTTAAAAGGGCGGCGAAAACTCTGTACCAGGTTTGGTAATTCGGTCAATCTTACCTACTCAAGTAACCCTGCTGCTTCCGGTGATACGTCGTGAGTCTCTGTCTATGTTTTACATGAGAACTTCTTCCTACCAATCTCTGTAGGTGATCCATTCTGCCCGTGCAAACGCAGCTCACAATCACGGATTGGATTCTGATAAACTTATTGTGGGTAGGTTTGCAACCAAGCACACATTTACTCCCGAATCTGCAACAATTTCAATATCATGCTGTTCATTGCCATTATTTTTGACATTGCAGAGGAGGCTTTTGTGGGGAAAGGACTTTACCTTAAGAGGCTGTCTTACCATGCCAAAGGGAGGTGTGGCGTCAGGGAGAGGCCTAGGTGCAGACTGACGGTGGTGGTTAGAGAAGCAACGGCCGAGGAAGAGGCAAAGATCGCTAAACTGAGAGTTAGCAACTACAAAAAGCTAACCCGGAAGGAGAAGCAGCTCATGCCGCACCGGCTTATTGAGGTTAGCCCCAGGTGGGCTCGGAAAAGGAAGGAGGAGCCTGGTGCCGCAGTGTAGGACGAGTTTCTGTCTTTCTTCACTGGCGTGCACTGCGAGAGTTCTGAAGAACAACCGAGGATATTTCATCTGCTGAGATTTAATTACTGAAGAACAACCGTGACTCCCATGAGAAAGAATTCATGCTCTCATTTGTCTGACAAGTTTTTGTTCTTTGTTCTGTTTGTGTCGTATGTGTGCAATCTTTCAAGTCATTTAGTCCTGTGACCGTGTTGTGGCACCGCTGGCGACTTGTAGGTAACAATGAATAAATTTACGTCTGATGTGTTGTTCAGCATGTCTATTTAGTAGATGCCGACCATCTGCATTTTATCATCTTCGAAGTTGATACTACTATCTTTTTAATTGTTTGATATTGGTGGCACTTGCATAGTGTGATCTTTACTGGTTTATTAGAGCAGACCAAACTACGGATTTCAGATTCTGATCCATTTGGTTCATACATTTTCGACCGACACCACAACACTGATAGTGTGATACATCCATCATGCACATACACATCACCCTTGACGCACGCTGTTAGCCCCAGTTACATCTACAGAACGGCACATTACAAGTGATAGTACTATAGCCACGTACTGTACTGTACGTAATGGCCAGCGAAAATCGCAAAGCAGGCAGGCATCTGGATCGCACACGTGGGAAGGCATCCATACCGCCGGCCGCCGGCGCATCCCGTCACCCGAATATGTCGCTGCTCACCGGGGCCCTGAACACCGTTGGCTCCTCCTCCATCACCTTCACCACCTCCGGCGCCGCGTGGACGTACACCACCCAGTCCCCGCCCCCGCGCGCGCTCGGCATCGGCATCACGTACCCGGCGGCGCCGGGCCACGGGAAGTGGTACGACGCGAACGCCGGACGGCCCCACCCGAAGTCCACCTCACCGAACGGGAGCCTCAGCCCCGACGACACCACGCACGAGGCCGTCTCCCCCTCGCCGTTGTCATTGTCGCCGCCGCCTATGTAAGCCCTCGCCACCGTGGGCTCGGGTCGCTGCGCCTCCACCCAGTCGACCAGCCCCTGAAAGTGCTCGCCCGTGGCCGCCTCCGCGACCCATCGGTGCACGTCCTCCGCTACGTCCGCGAGCGCCATGTCGCGCAGGTCGGCAGCGACGAACGCGCCGTAGGGGATGGTCAGCACGTTGCCGAAGTAGGGCCTCATGGCGCCGTCGGGGCACAAGCGGCCGCGCCCGTCGACGACGACGCCCATGCAGCACGAGTCGTGTCGTGGCGTGGCCGCCCTGGAGTAGAGCTGCCACAGGTGGGCCGTGAACGCCTCCAGCTTCGTGCGCCCGGGCCCCGCCGAGGCCTGCAGCGCGGCGACATCGGCGGCGGCCACGTGGAAGATGCGGTTGAAAGCTGTGGGTGGTGCCGCTGTGGCTGGCGGCGGTGGCACGAGGCTGACGGGGACGAAGAGGCGGTCGGCGAGGGTGCCGGCGGTGCACGACGGAGGCGGGCTGCTCGGCGCGAGGAATGAACGGTTGAAGGACGGGGGCAGCGGGATGGACGCGCCCCGGGCCGCGGCGGCCCACGCGACGAGGAACATGTTGAAGGAGTAGGCGTCGCAGACGCGGTGGTCGAAGGTGCACCCGACGACGGCGCCGCCGCACTTAAACTTGGTCACCTGCATGCATGAGTAGTGCCTTGTTGACTTGTTGTGAACTTTACAAAATTTCTATTCTAAACTCTTCACTCTTAACCACTGCCGAGGCCGATGCCCATAACCACAATATTTTTGAGAACCACAAGGATTCGAGTAACAATTTAAATTGGCTTGTTGGAAGCATATTTTTCGATTTGTCATAAGAAATTTACATTTCTTATTACATATTTATTCGGAAATTCGATAGCAGTCAAAGCTGCATATTAAACAAGCAGTAAATACAAGTAACTAATGAATTATGAAGGAAAATATGAATAGGTACCTAATTGAGCTGTACATTTTGTTCAAGTGTGTATATGTTCATGTTAGTGTACGTTTGGATCTAACCATGACGCAAGGCTCTCTAGTAGACACTAAAAATATATGCAGTGTCGCAGTGACAACACAGCAATTAATAATCGCTGTCATGCCGGTTTAGGTAACACAAGATGCAGTTGGAGGTGGTCAGCTCGACAGGATGGAAGCAGTTGACCAGCACATGGATTTAATTGAACACTAAGTACTCTCGGTAATAGCTCCACGTGGCGAGGTGATGACGACGCCCCTACGTACCAACGCTAGCTAGACGTACGTACGTACACCAGCAAACAAACACGATGCATGAAGCATGTACGTATGGCAATGATCCGAACGAACCTGCACGCTCATGACCCCGGACTTCTTCTTGGGCACCAGCCTCTCGACGCTCTCGTCCGGCAGGCCGAGCTGCAGCTCCCGCAGCTCGACGCCGTCCGCGGCCGCCTCCGCGAAGTCCACGCCGCGGCCGCTGCACAGCAGCTCCGGCTCCCCCGCGGCGTTGGCCACGACCTCGCCGGCGAGCGGGTAGTACGCCACCAGCACCTTGGCCAGCGCCGCCTTCAGGGTTGACGCGGGGTGGCTACCTGTACCCGCCGGGTAGTCGTCGCCGGCGGCGTAGCAGAAGAAGACGCTGACGTCGATGGGGGGCAGGATGAGGTCGAGGTTGGAGAGCGGCAGGCGGTGCTCCTGCAGCGGCAGCGCTGGCACCACCGTGGACGTGAACGTCACGGCCACCTCGTCGCCGCCGTGGCATTTGGCGGTGGCCTCACTCTCATCGTAGTGCACCATGATGCGCGCGCGTACGTGGTTACTTGTGTGAGCTGCCGAGGAGGGAGCTGTGTGCTTCCTGCTTCGTTTGAGCGAGTGTGTGTGATCGATGGGTGAACCGGCAGGCGGTTATTTATAGGAGGCGAAGGTGCATAAGAAATTATGAAGTGCCAATTAAGGAGATGCGCTGCATCATGGTGCATAAGAAATTATGGAGTTCCAGGCATGACACACATTTCACACCTAATGTTCAGTTTAGATTCTAAAAACCATGTTCAGTTTAATAAAATCGAGTCGTGTTCAACGAGATATCAGACATTTTGAGAAAAATCGACTTGTATTCTAATGAGAAATATAATACGATTAGCAAAGTTGACCCTTAGTTAGTGGGAATTTTTTTTCTCACGATACAGTATATCAATGATGCTAATCAATAGTAGTAGCTGAGCAAGTGTCATTAAAATGCATGGTAGAACTGGTTGTTGATTCTATAATGTACGCGCCATTCACCCGTTTTTTTTTCTTTCTAAGAGGACGTCGAAGCCTCTGCGTCATTGTGATGCACACAACTCACAATATTGTTAACTGAAGCTGATGCAAGACAACACGTTAAAATCATCAACAAGTCAAGTAGAAAACATAGGCTACTATGGCAGAACCATCCAGAGATATGACTAAAACACACAAGATTAAATCCACCTTTTCTACAACAACGCCTTCAAAAAGGATAAACGCTCTCACGCCGCGGTAGCCACGTTCTGCCGGAGATGGCATGGACAAGATTTTTAATGCTAGTTGTCGCAAACCAACTCTAAAGGCATGTACATCAGCAAAGAAAACACCTTCAATAAGGTAACGACGCAAGTTCATCGTTGCTAGGCATAACCAATAAAAATCAAAATAAGAGTCACACCCCTGACATGAAGCGGTGTTCCATCACCATCTTGATGACATATCTTTTAAAATTCACGTCATCCAGTGTTGGGTTGAACATATCCCCATCTTAGACAATCATCGTCGTCATCAGGAGACCGACCATCTCGCGGCCTAGATCTGGCCGCTGCCACACCACACTGGCGTGGACTCACCTCCACCATCCACCACAACCCCGGGACCGTGGAGGTTCACGGGCATCGGATTATCGATCGAGCAGGCGTACATGGTGGTGATGTACGAGTAGTCGTTGTCAATCTTGTAGATGCGCCCCACCAGGGTACCTGGGAACCTCTCTGCTCTACGTTGTAGCCAATGCTTGTGCCAGCACCATCATGACCAGCGACTATACTTCATCAGGGGAGAGGCAGGTGAGAGGGGACAGGGAAGGCCGGCGCCATTGCTGATCCCGTCGAGGAGGAGGAGGAGGTGGTGGAGGGCGAATCGCTCTTCCGTTAATTTTGGGTTGGGTCGGAAGTTCTTTTTTTTCCCATCTCCTCACTGGTTACATGTAAATAGATAATACTCATCACAGTATAAACAACACCGCGGCCATTATAAACTTTGACCTCGCAGTCTAAGTATTGCAGTACACATGTTCCCATTCATTACTTTGAGCATTTTTCCTCTGACTTCATATTTTGATGTTCATATTATACGTAGGATTGACATCATGTAGAGTATGTGTAGTAGCACACATGTTCCTTCCCAACACCTTCCAGTCCAACCTTAATTGAAGCAACTTAACTACTCTCTAACTTACCTTTCTCAGTCCTCAATGTCAAGACAAAACATGCATGACATGCAGTTAAGCGCTAATTTGACTTTGTTGCTTGACGAGGGTTTAGTCAAATTAAAGCTAACTAATTCTTGACATACACCATGTTCTTTTTGGATATCCCCCCTTTTACCTCCTACTTTCTGACCTTGTAACAACTTCATTTGATTTTAAAAATCTTGTCACATTTTACTCCCTAAGGCACTCACCACCTTTACCTCTATTTCTCTCTCTCAAACTCACAAGGTAGATGCACGCGTCAGGGTGATGTGGCAGCTGGTTGGGTAGACAATTCAGCGCCTAACGCACCTGCTCGGCATAATTTGACGATATTTCACTAAATTTGGTGGAGTTTGGTTAATTTGGGGGAAGTTGACATGATTTGATACACGCATCGTCCTCAATGCATGCATGCATGAGCTGTCCCCTCGGGCAACTGTCGTGTCATCTCGAAAAGCTGGCCCAACTTGTCAGTTTACAAAAACTGACTGAAATAGGTCACAATTCACAGCTGAAAGGGAAAATGTTGAAGTTTTTATTTAATAAAAATGGGCATGACTCATGAGGTCACGAGCAAGGGGGAATGCATATTTTTCAAGAAAATCAGTTCGAAAACTCAGCATGATGTATATACCAGATTTTTTTAAGGCAGTCGCAAGCAATATATGAACCATTAAACATTCATGATCTAATGGCTGTTATAAAGATAATGGCCATTAATAAAGTTGTGAAGGTTAATACATTGGTGTTGTACAATGGAAGCAATTTTTATAATTTATTCATTTCCTTTTGAGCCTCAAGCGTGGAAGAAAAAAACATAAACATAGCTAATTTGTTCTGAAATTCCTACAAAAATTCCAGTAAACCAAAGTAGACGTTAATGTTTTGGTAAAGTCAAACTTTTCCAACCGAAAATGTGGGTTTTTTGCAAAATCAATACATTAGTATAATTGGTAAAGTATCCGTGTTTTTATTTTGTCAGTTGGGAGCTAGACATTTTTTTAGGGGTAGCTAGACAATTTCTTTAACAAAGCAACCATGTGTACTAGTGTTCTTGAGCAGAAAGTTTATCATGTTGTCACACTGAG